TGTCCCACCGTGAGTCAGTTGCTTTTTGCTACACTGTACTGTCTTAGCGCGTCTAAGTCCAGTAACAGTGATTTTTGTGTGCAGCGCAAGAGCGAAAAAAAGGGTGGAGCCTATTTGTGTACGCGTTGGTATGTATGTACGTACCTCGGCGGTTTTCTATATGTACATATAAGTATGTGCAATATGAGTGCGCGGTAACCGAATTATATTCGAAGTGCTGTTAACGGTCGAAAAGGGGTAAGCAACCAACCACGTATTTATATATACGTACGTATGTCGCACTTGACTACGCTAATATTAGTATGGGTCAATTTTGTTTGCGATAATAAACCGAACAAGTTGGGTTCAAATGCATGTATCTACCTCTATATATATTTGGATATATATTTATAAATTTATGTGTGAGGGCCGAAAGGTCTATACATTTTATAAAAATCTTGAAGGAGACTGGGAAACGCTTCTTTTTATATTTATTTATTTAAACTTTTTCTTTTTATATAGCCGCACACTAATGTGTACTTACTTCGGTATCTATATATGTCGCAAGCGTTTTTGTTCACTGCTGAAAAATAGCGGCACTTAGCTGAGTGGTACAGGGATAGGGTAGATATGTACGTATTAAGTGAGATTGCACAAATGCTGAAACGTATTTACATACATGTGTTGCGCGCGAATTATTTACCGCTTCGGATTTTTGGCGATTTTATAAGGGTATGAGCAAAAGCGTGCGTACATATGTACATGTACAGTATGCGCCAAAGGGGACTGTGTGTATATGCGGTTGTGTTTTGCGCGCTAGTTCTTCGTTTACAAGTAGATTTAGGAGTTGGAGAAGGCAAGTGAATATAGATATGTGCACACAGGCGTGCAAACAATTATGTGTTAGGGTACAGCGTACGTGAAAAAATGGAAAATGCCCGTTTGGAAATTCGGGACTTATGTACATCAAAATATGGGCGGTTAATAAAAGAGTTTATATATACATTTGCATATACAATGTGCTACGTATGTATATTTTTATAGCAGTTTTTGGATAGGGAAAATTTTTAACGCGCGGGGATTGTGAGTATATATGTACATACATATATTTCGGTATATA